ACCATTGTGTCTTAGGGGGAAGTAAATTTGACAGTCATCGGCGTAGAAGTGAAAGGATATGTTGTATTTCCGGAAAATAGCACCAAGTGGCAGCAGGTATAAAGAGAATAGGAGGGGACCCAGGAGGGGACCCAGGATGGACCCCTGCGGAACCCCCCATTTAAGCTCTGCCGCTGCAGAACTAAAGTCCTTGATGGAGACACAAAAGGATCTGTCAGCGAGGTAGGATCTGAACCAATTGAGGGCTGAACCTGTGATGCCCACCCACTGCTCCAACCTAGCAATGAGGATCTCATGGTCGATATTGTCAAAAGCGGCTGTAAGGTCCAATAGGACAAAAACCTTCAGTAGGGCAGTTTCAGTGCTATGGAGAGGATTAAAGCCAGATTGGAATAGCTCTAGGATAGTGTAACCCTCCAGGAAGCACTTCAACTGGGACTCAACTATTTTCTCCAGTAGTTTAGAAATAAATGGGAGTCTGGAGACAGGCCGGAAGTTGGACTGAGGGGTCAAGGTTTGTTTTTTTCAGGAGAGGCTGGACAGCAGCATGTTTAAAGGTTTTTGTCACCACGCCAGTGGATAAACTGCTATTTACAATGGCAAGAATGGACGGACCGAGAGTAGGAAAAACCTCCTTTAGTAGTCGAGGTAGGACCACATCAAAGGGGGAACCAGAAGGTTTCCAGCTGCACATGACCTGCTCTACAGAAGATAGAGTTATGGGCTCAAAATAGTCAAATAGAGCTACAGCTTGAGGTGGGATGGATGGGTCATGAGTTGGAGGGGAAATGAGAGCCCGGGTGGTCACAATTTTTTCCAAAAAGAAATGTAGGAAGTTCTCGTACAGCTCAGTCGAGGCTTCCAGAGGTGATGGTTCAGTGAGGTGGAGAACAGAGTTTAGGGTAGAAAAGAGGACACGTGGGTTGTGAGAGTTTGAGGTTATGATATCAGAAAAGTATTTGGATTTAGCAGCTTTTATTGCTTTTTGATAACGCTGCCAACTCTCTTTTATTTGAAAAGAGACATGAAACCGGTCTTTCCTCCATTTGCTCTCCGCCCTCCTGCACTGCTGCCTAGCGGCCTTGGTGACATCATTCAGCCAAGGTTCTGCTCTGAGTTTTGATTTTCTAGTTTTAACAGGAGCGACATGATCCAGAGTCTTTAAGCAAAAAGAGTTGAACTGGGATATCAGCTCCTCAGCGGTGGTGAGAAACACCGGGGACTGAATGATCATTTCCAAGTCATAAACATCTGTGAAACGTGTGGCAGTGAAGTGGTTAATGGTCCGGCTACTACGTGCACGAGCGCACGGCTTAGGAATTAGATGGGGGAGGGTGAACTCAAACCGGACTGGCATGTGGTCTGAAAAAGCATTATCATCAATTTCAAGATACTAACAGTCACATCACGTGTTGAAAAAGGTCCAGTGTATGTCCGCGCTCTTGGGTGGGACCATTTACATGCTGAGTTAGATTAAATGAGTCCAATAAATCTAAAAAGTCCTTAACCAAGGACTTTGGCTTCTCCTGACAGCACACATGCAAATTAATGTCCACAATAATGAAAACATGATCATATTTTGGTGTGATTTCAGCCAAAGAAATCAGAAAATTCATTTATGAAATCCTTAGATCGAGGTGGGCGGTAGACGAGTGCGCATTAAGTCGAATGGCCGAGTTCAAAGATGCTCAGCTCAAAGATGCTCAGCTCAAAGCTGGCACGGGAAACTGGAATGGGCAGTTGTTTATAGTCAAAAGTTGATTTGAATATTGTTAATAATCCACCACCGCGGCGGCCTGATGGCCACGGGGCATTAAAATACAGACAGTTCGGTGGCAATAATTCCATCAAGGCGCTGGACTCACCCAGAGACATCCAAGTCTCTGTGATGCAGAGATAGTCCAAATTGTGCTCTTGAAAGTAGTCCCTGAGGATAAATGTTTTTTTGGTAAGAGATCTTGCGTTGACCAAGCACATCCGGATACTGTCCAAAGTGAACCCAGCAGCGGTGGAGGGAGCGCGCCAGTGGCCGCAGATTTTCAATAACGCCTCCGGGTCGGCCCGTGTGGTGCACCGGCCGATACCTCCCGTTGTTTACCTGGTCCGGGCATGCGGGAAGCTGGCGATGTAAACCATGAACACAAGATGGAGAGGAAGATGCAGTGTGCAGGGCTTTAAGCTTTACCAGAAAGTTTTCCCTGGCGTCTGGAGCGATATCTCTGGGCAGGCAGGTGAGGAGCGCAGCGACGGTAAACAGGCATGTCCGCCAGCAGTGGGGGAAGGGGGGTGGGGTCCAGCAGTACGCTCATATTGATTCAAATAAGCGACATCGGCGGCAGAAAATCGAAGATCCAGAAGCTGTTGTCGGTCATACACCAGCAGCGAGTTTATGTCCCAGATGAAAAACAAACAAAACACAAATAATCCGAACACCATCAGTAGAGGTGGATTGCAAGCCATGTACACGGGCGCCATCTTACCGGAAGTCCCGGTAAGAACATAGCATTTGTCACACAAAGCTTTTAATAAAAAAATCAGTAAACAAGTTCTCAGCTTCTTTTTGCAAAGAAAAACAAATTTTTAGATGAAGGCACGGGTTTCAACTGTGAATTTTGGAGCTTCGACAAGACGGAGGGTTTTTTCCATGAGGTTGGCCTGTTAGCTTAGCTCGTAGCTTAGCTTCTCAGCTTAGCTGCTTTTAACAATCCAAAAACGCAATTTTGGATTGTTAAAACGGACTGTTTCTCGGCTGGCCTGGGAACGCCTCGGGATTCCCCCAGAAGAGCTAGCCCAAGTGGCTGGGGAGAGGGAAGTCTGGGCCTCCCTACTTAGGCTGCTACCCCCGCGACCCAACCCCGGATAAGCGGAATAAAATGGATGGATGGATAAAACGGATTTTAAAGAGAAGGGGAGGTGTCAGTGAAGAACACCGGAGTTGAGCCTTTTCTCATCCAGTGTCTTCAGTAGAAAGAGAGACATGAAGAAACGATAAAGCCGGTAAATGAAAATTAGGTAGATAATTTTAATTTATTATGCGATTAATTGATTTATAATTTATCGCATCAGGCCTATTCTATAGTGCACCAAACAAGACATGGTTTGACAAGTTTGCTTTGGAACTAGGATTTCATAAAAGTAGATCTCAGACTAAATCCAGGAAGTTGAATCTGTAATGGACCAGCTTTCCTGTTAGCTGGTTACAGTATAAGTTTTAAATTCTGCCACCTCCACAATAAAAAAAAGGATGTTTTCTTGTTTAAAAATAAAATAAAACAGAACTGCTGATTTTTTTTTTTTAGGTTCTGACTTTTGATTCTTTAAATATTACTTTGCTGCTTTAGTTCAATTATTCATTTTTCTAGCACATTTAGCTGTTATTTCATGCTTAAAAGAAAATTTTGTGTGTGGGAGTAGATTGAGCTTAATGCCGCACATCACGTTATGCTGGTTCCTATAAAATTACAACACAACAGCTTCTGGAAGACGTTTCCTGCTGGTTTGAAATGTCAATACTGAGACTGCTGGGACATTCAGTCAGTAAAGATACCATATGTCAGAATGGTGTGGAAGAACTTGACTGATCCATGTAGAGTCCTGACGTCAACCGTATTGGTACAAACTGGAAAGAAGATTGCAAGCCACCATCATCATCAATGTCTGACCTTTAGAAATGCTCTACAGCAGAGCTGTTCAACTAAACTGCTCAGGGGGCCACAGTTACTGAAAGCCAGCAGCTCAGGGGCCACACATCCAGCAATTAAAGTCATTATGTGAATAAACAAAGTATTAAAATGATCTGTTGTGTTTTAAATTTGTTTATTTTATTGCATTTAGTCATAAATGCATTTAGTCATAAATGCAAAAAAAAAAACCCAAACCCACCCCCCCCCCCCCCCCCCCCCCCCAATTTTTTTAAAATGAAGTCATTGGTAGGCCGGATTGAAATCACCTGCTGGCCATTTCCGGCCCATGGGCCACCAGTTGAATAGCCCTGCTCTACAGAGTAAAGAGAGACATTTTCCTCATGGCAACCTTCCAAAGCCTTGTGAAAGGCATTGCAAGAGAGGTGCACGGTGGCATGGTTGGTAGAGCTGCTGCCTCTCAGCAAGAAGGTCGCCGGATCAAATCCCAGCCTGGGGGCCATTCTGGGTGGAGTTTACATGTTCTCTCCGCGCATGCGTGGGTTTTCTCCAGGTACTCCAGTTTCCTCCCACAGACCAAAAACGTGCATGTTAGGCTGATTGGTAACTCTAAATTGGCTCTAGGTGTGAGTGTTTGTCTCGTATGTCTCTATGTGATGGACTGGAGACCTGTCCAGGGTGTCCCCCACCTCTCGCACAGTGACTGCTGGATATGGACACCAGCGACCCGAACAGGAAGAAGTGGGTAAAATATATGGATGGATGGATGGATGGATAGGCTTTGCAAGAAGAGTAGAAGCTGTTGGCCCCTTTCATGTTACAGTATATAATGTACAATGAACAGCAGTAAAGTTGGTATAAGGTACAGATCTATCGGACCAGATTGGGCCATCTGGGTCGGGTCATTTCACAAGAATGGCAGTGAGTATCACAAGACTGAAGTGAGAAAGATCTTCAAGCTGGTGGCAAAATTTCCCTGTGGCAACGCTAACAGCAACTAGCTCTGTTAGCTTTCAGCATCAGACATTTCATGGCTCTTGTGGTTGCTGACAGTGTCTGATGTGCATCAGAAGAATCTGGTGAGGAAGAGCTCATCTTCTGTCCTGGCTCTTTCTTTGCTTCAGCTACTTTACTGGCTGTTCAGTGAAAGTTCATATCAAAGACTGTAAAATGTCTGCTGCTGTGGAGACACGTGTTTACACAGACCTCTTTATTTTAGTCAGTTTGTCACAAGTAAACGGTCGTCAAGGATAAATAAAAATAACAGAATGTAAAAATGTGTCCTGTTTCCTTCAGAAAGGATTTGAACTCTTCAGTACTTCTTTTTTTCCATTTAATGTTTATGGAGAGCACGTGTTGAATTGATAAGAAATAAAAAACACTTTATTCTGTTTAAAAAATGAGCAGAGCAGCTGCATGTACTTCCTGTCCATCATGTCTGCTGCTCTGCTTTCCTTTGTTGTTCAACTGCTAAAACAGACAAAAGCAGCCCAGTCCGCTTTATTTTACATTTCAACTCACTGTTCCTCTCTCTGATCTTCTCACTTCCAGTTTAGCTGTTTTGCTTCCTGTTTTGGTCGTGTGTTTGGATGTCCACGGTCTGCTGCAGGTGTTTTCAGCCTTTCAGCACCTTGTCTTTCAGCAGGTCTAAAATGACCTGCCTCTCTTGACTCTCAAGCTCAAATCTCCGCTCCCTCTCTTTCCTCTCAGCTTCCAGGCGTTCCCTCTCCAGAGCGATCTTGCCTAAAATGAAAAACAATGAATGTTAGATTAATTAAAGGACAAGCAGACGTGAAGACAGCACAACAATCTGCATATAATGAGGATCTTCTTGATCCCAAAATCAGCTCCAGTTAAGCCAAATGAGGCACACATAACTATTCAGCCGTTATTTTTCTGTTTATGCCACAAATATTTGATTTCCTGTTTCGCCTACAGCTTTAGAAAACCTATAGCTACTTATATAAAAATACAACATGCAGTTCAGTCTAGAATAGAGTGTTATGGCTTTTAGTAGCATGTATCATGCATGCAGTGTAGACAATTTGGAAAAAAAGGAACCATTTTTACAATGATGGAGTTGTGTCAAAAGGCGGGAAAAAAATTCCTCTTTGGAGCACTATAGCTCAGACATCGTTCAGGTCACAGAAGGATGGACTTTACAGTTCTGAACTGGCATTTAAATATCTTTAACAGTTTTTACACAGGGCGGCACGTTGGATCAGTTGGCTCTGCTGCCTCTCAGAGAGAAGTTCGCCAGCTGGAATCCCAGTCCAGGACCTTTCTGAGTGGAGTTTGCATGTTCTCTTCGTGCACATGCGTGGGTTTTCTCCAGGTACTCAGGTTTCCTCCCACAGACCAAAAACATGCATGTTAGGCTGAATGGTAACTCTGAATTGTCTCTAGTTGTGACTGAGAGAGTGAATGGTTGTTTGTCTTGTTTGTCTCTATGTGTCCCTGTGATGGACTGGACACCTGTCCAGGGTGTACCCCGCCTCTCGCACAGTGACTATGGGCATCATCCCTGTGACACGAAAAGGAAGAAGTGGATAAAGATAATGGATGGATGGATTTAACAGCGTTTAAACAGTTACAATTTAGGTTTTATGATTTTTGACACTTTTACCACAGAAAGTTAAACTTAGTGTGATGTCACACAATACTTTCTGACCTGTCATAATTTTACCTTGTTTTGCAATCAAACTCTTCTTATTGCCTCAGTCATTGCATTTCTTATACAGTTTGTACATAAAACTAGCCTGTTCACTTAATTTTAACAAGTTTGCATTCAGCTAAAGTTCTTGTGTTTCTGTTTTGAATCCTCCCAAAGAAGAGAACCTGGACACGTACAGGTCCTTCTCAAAAAATTAGCATATTGTGATAAAGGTCATTATTTTCCATAAAGTAATGATAAAAATGAAACTTTCATATATTTCAGATTCATTGCACACCAACTGAAATATTTCAGGTCTTTAATTGTTTTAATACTGATGATTATGGCATACAGCTCATGAAAACCCAAAATGCCTGTCCCAAAAAATTAGCATATCATGAAAAGGTTCTCTAAACAAGCTATTAACCTAACCATCTGAATCAACAACGTAACGCTAAACACCTGCAAAAGATTCCTGAGGCTTTTAAAAACTCCCAGCCTTGTTCATTACTCAAAACCGCAATCATGGGTAAGACTGCTGACCTGACTGCTGTCCAGAAGGCCATCATTGACACCCTCAAGCAAGAGGGTAAGACACAGAAAGAAATTGCTGAACGAATAGGCTGTTCCCAGAGTGCTGTATCAAGGCACTTCAGTGGGAAGTTTGTGGGAAGGGAAAAGTGTGGCAGAAAATGCTGCACAATGAGAAGAGGTGACCGGACCCTTAGGAGGATTGTGGAGAAGGGCCGATTCCAGACCTTGGGGGACCTGTGGAAGCAGTGGACTGAGTCTGGAGTAGAAACATCCAGAGCCACCATGCACAGGCGTGTGCAGGAAATGGGCTACAGGTGCCGCGCTCCCCAGGTCAAGCCACTTTTGAACAAGAGACTGCGTCAGAAGCATCTCACCTGGGACTGCTGCTGAGTGGTCCAAAGTTATGTTCTCTGATTACAGTAAATTTTACATTTCCTTTGGAAATCAAGGTCCCAGAGTCTGGAGGAAGAGAGGAGACACAAAATTCACATTGCTTGAGGTCCAGTGTCAAGTTTCCACAGTCACTGGGGTGCCATGTCAGCTGCTGGTATTGGTCCACTGTGTTTTATCAAGGGCAGGGTCAATGCAGCTAGCTATCAGGAGATTTTGGAGCACTTCATGCTTCCATCTGCTGAAAAGCTTTATGGAGATGAAGATTTCATTTTTCAGCACGACCTGACACCTGCTCACAGTGCCAAAACCACTGGTAAATGATTTACTGACCATGGTATTACTGTGCTCAATTGGCCTGCCAACTCTCTGACCTGAACCCCATAGAGAACCTGTGGGATATTGTGAAGAGAAAGTTGAGAGACGCAAGACCCAACACTCTGGATGAGCTTAAGGCCGCTATCGAAGCATCCTGTGCCTCCATAACACCTCAGCAGTGCCACAGGCTGATTGCCTCCATGCCACACCGCATTGAAGCAGTCATTCATGCAAAAGGATTCCCGAACAAGTATTGAGCACATAACTGAACATGATTATTTGAAGGTTGGCGTTTTTTGTATTAAAAACACTTGTCTTTCATTGGTGGGATGAAATATGCTAATTTTTTGGGACAGGCATTTTGGGTTTTCATGAGCTGTATGCCATAATCATCAGTATTAAAACAATTAAAGACCTGAAATATTTCAGTTGGTGTGCAATGAATCTGAAATAAATGAAAGTTTCATTTTTATCATTACATTATGAAAAATAATGACCTTTATCACAATATGCTAATTTTTTTAGAAGGACCTGTACAGTAACTTTTCATTGACTTCCATTGTCTATGAGCTGAAGATGTTCTCTGGAAGCAAAGAGTATTTTTTTAACTGGTCCCATCTCCATCCCATCTGGGGCAGCTGTGGCTGAGTGGTTAGAGCAGTCGTACTCCAATGCAAGAGTTGTGGGTTCAAACCCACCAGCAGTCACATGCCGAAGTGTCCATGGGCAAGACACTGAACCCCTCATCGCCTCCGATGTATGTCCCATCGGTGTATGAATGTGATAAAGCTCTGATTAGTCTCTTTAGAATGATTTGTTCAATTAGCTTTGTAGAGATCTAGTAGAGTGCTGCATGAATGGGTAAATGAGGCACAGATTGTAGTGTAAAGCGCTTTGAGTATCTTGATTAGATAGAAAGGCGCTATATAAGTACAGTCCATTTACCATTTATCTCCTACATAAAACATATAAAATGACATGTCCCTAGGGGTGAGAGAGAGTGTGAATGGTTGTTTGTCTCGTTTGTCTCTATGTGTCCCTGTGATGGACTGAAGACCTGTCCAGGGTGTACCCCGCCCCTCGCACAGTGAATGCTGGATATGGGAACTGGCAACCCCCGTAACCCAAAATGGAAGAAGTGGGTCAAAGATAATGGAAGGATGGATGGATGGATAACCAACAAACCAACATTTGTTTAATGTTTATGTACTGATACTGTGAAGTAGTTATTTTGTTTTAGTTAAAACATTTGGACCTTGTAATTCAATTCAAGGTGGTGCACTGGCTGCACTGGTCCAAAGACAAGCTGTCCAGGGTCAAAGCCAACCTGGGCCCCACATGTAATCATTGTAAACAAACTCCAGCTACACTCCTGCATACATTCTGGACATGTCCCAAAATGCATACTTTTTTACAATCTATTTTTGACACCTTCTCTGGGATAAGTGGAAAAACTGTAAACCCATCACCATACATCTCACTGTTAGGGGTGGTCCCTGTGGATACGTCCTTCAGCAATGATGAAGACAATACGGTAAGATGGTGCCCGTGTACATGGCTTGCAATCACCTCTGCTGACGGTGTTCGGATTATTTGTATTTTGTTCATTTTTCATCTGGGACATAAACTCCCGACTGGTGTATGATCGACAACAGCTTCTGGATCTTCGATTTTGTGCTGCTGATGATTTTGTCCAGGGGCCTTTCTGGGTGGAGTTTGCATGTTCTCTCCGTGCATGCGTGGGTTTTCTCCGGGTGTTCCGGTTTCCTCCCACAGACCAAAAACATGCATGTTAGGCTGATTGGAAACTCTAAATTGTCCCTAGGTGTGAATGAGAGAGTGAATGGTTGTTTGTCTCTATGTGGCCCTGTGATGGACTTGTGACCTGTCCAGGGTGTACCCCGCCCCTCGCACGGTGACTGCTGGACATGGGCACCAGCGACCCCCGTGACCCAAAATGGAATAAGCAGGTAAAGATAATGGATGGATGGATGGATGGATGGATGGATTTGGACTTTCTTTGCATCACAGAGACTTGGATGTCTCTGGGTGAGTCCAGCGCCTTGACGGAATTATTGCCACCGAACTGTCTGTATTGTAACGCACCGCGACCATCAGGCCGGCGCGGTGGTGTTTTATTAACAATATTCAAATCAACTTTTGACTGTAAACAACTGTCCATCCCAGTTTCCTGTGCCAGTTTTGAGCTGAGCGTCTTTGAACTCGGCCATTCGCCTTTGACTTTATGCGCACTGGTCTAACGCCCACCTCGATCTAAGGATTTCATAAATTAGTTTTCTGATTTCTTGGCTGAAATCACACAAAATATGATCATGTTTTCATTATTGGGGATTTTAATTTGCATGTGTGCTGTCCTGAGAAGCCCTTGGTTAAGGACTTTTTAGATTTATTGGACTCATTTAATTTAACTCAGCATGTAAACGGTCCCACCCAAGAGCGTGGACATACACTGGACCTTGTTTTAACTCATGATATGACTGTTAATAATCTAGTTATTGGTGATAATGTTTTTTCAGACCACATGCCAGTCCGGTTTGAGTTCACCCTCCCCCATCTAACTCCTAAGTCGTGCATTCTTGCACGTCGCACCCGGACCATTAACTACTTCACTGCCACACCTTTCACAGATATTTATAACTCTGAAATGATAATTCAGCCCCCAGTGTTTCTCACCACCACTGAGGAGCTGACATACCAGTTCAACTCTGTATGCTTAAAGACTCTGGATCATGTTGCTTCTGTTAAAACCAAAAAATCAAAACTCAGAGCAGAACCTTGGCTGAGTGACGTCACCAAGGCCGCTAGGCAGCAATGTAGGAGGGCGGAACAAAAGTGGAGGAAAGACAGGCTTCAGGTCTCTTTCCAAATACTTAAAGAGAGCTGGCGCTGTTATTAGAAAATAGTAAAAGCTGCAAAATCAAAATTCTTCTCTGATATAATTACCTCAAACTCTCACAACCCACGTGTCCTCTTCTCCACCCTAAATTCTGTTCTCCACCTCACTGAACCATCACCTCTGGAAGCCTCGACTGAGCAGTGAGACAACTTCCTACATTTCTTTGTGGAAAAAATTGCGACCACCAGGGCTCTCATTTCCCCTCCAACTCATGACCCATCCATCCCACCTCAATTTGTAGCTCCTTTTGACCATTTTGAACACATCACTCTATCTTCTCTAGAGCAGGTTATGTGCAGCTTGAAACCTTCTGGTTCCCCCTTTGATGTGGTCCCCCCTCGACTAGTAAAGGAGGTTTTTCCTACTCTAGATCCTTCCATTCTTGCTATTGTGAACAGCAGTTTACCCACTGGCGAGATACCAAAAACCTTTAAACATGCTGCTGTTCAAGCTCTCCTGAAAAAAACAAACCTTGACCCCGGTCATATCCAACTTCTGGCCTGTCTCCAGACTCCCATTTATTTCTAAACTACTGGAGAAAATAGTTGAGTCCCAGTTGAAGTGCTTCCTGGAGGATCAGAAGTCTGAAGTCATGTTGTTCCCTCCCAACGACACAATCACGAACCACTGCATCGACTTTTCCGCTCTAGCCCTGTCAGAAAAACAAAGAGTCACAAATCTGGGAGTGACAATGGACCCTTTCATGAAACTCAACAGTCAGGTAAACACGATTGTTAAATCCTGTTTTTTCCAACTGAGGAGACTGTCTAAGCTGAAGCCCATTTTGTCCAAAAATAACCTGGAGACAGTAATACACGCATTCATTACATCTAGGCTTGATTACTGCAATTCGCTCCTGTTTGGTATCAGTCAGACCATGACTGCACGACTATAACTGGTCCAGAATGCAGCAGCCCGATTTTTAACCTGTACAGGCAAAAGAGAGCACATTACTCCAGTCTTGGCCTCCCTGCACTGGCTATCGGTTCACCTTCGAATCCAGTTCAAAATACTCCTGTATGTCTACAAATCGCTAAACAGTCTCCCCCACCCACCCACCCATCTCGTACATCTTGTATATTGCTTTGTGTGTTGCCTGTTTTCTGTTTGTACAGCACTTCGGTTGGCCTTGTCACTGTTTTAAGTGCTCTATAAATAAAATTGCATGGTATGGTAAGTACAAGAAGGATGGGATTGCTTTTGTCTCTCTCTTGGCCATAAGACTTTTTTTATGCAGTTGGAAGGACCCACACCACCCAGCATATGTACATTGGATAAGACAAGTGATGTGTCATATCCATCTGGAAAACATCAGATACACCCTGAAGGGTTCTGATAAAAGATTATGGGACACGTGGCAGCCTTTCATGTTGTACGTAGAAAACATGTCAATGCCTAGTTAATTCGTTTGTTTGTGTGTGGAGGGAAGGAGCGGGGATGGAGTTTGTTCTATGTTTTGTCTTTTTTTCTTTTTGTATGTCCAAAAAAACCAAAAAATTCAATAAAATAACTTTTTTTTTTTAAAGAACCTTGAAAGTTATATATTTCTTGAAAGAATGCTTATGTATCACCTGCCACCGTTCAAGCCAGACATTTTATGATGAGAAATAACCAAGGTGTAGCTGCCCAGGTCAAATATTGAAAATAATATTATGTGGTATTTGTTAGAGCTTTGAGTATAAGTTGGGAATGACTTTCAGCTATTAACTCTTCAAATTTTAGCTCAGTGTCTGTAAAACTGATGAAGCCATTTTTGTGTGTAGCAAAGAGCTACAAAAAATCATACTCCTTTGAATTTCCAGTTCCTCTCGGCGCAGTGCAAGCTCCTCCTCCCGAAGCCGTTGCTCCGCCTCTGAACGTTTCTCCAGAAAGCTCAGAATCTCGGAGTATGTCTGGCAGCAACATTGGCAAGGCCTCTTGGCTGTGGGCGCCGCTGACAGCTCTGCCATTTGCTCCCGTTCTTCTTCTGCTTCTGTAAAGACAACAAAAATCAGTCAAGTCCTGATAGAAATGGGGGATCAGTGAGGGAACCAGTAGAATAAATATACAACATGCACACTGTACAGGTGTTCAAACATTTTGAAGGTATGTTTGAGACATTTTGAGACAAATGAAATACCTAACTCCAGTCAAAGTCTTTAAAATTGTATTTGTCACGTCATTCGTATGTGGTTCTCAAATGACAGCTTTGCATTGTCCAGTGGAGTACCTGCAGGTATCTGCGTGATGTTGGGTTTGTCCTGTTCTGGAAGAGTTAGTTCTTCTAGAACATGATTCCTTCGCTCTTCATCCTTGGTAAGATTTAAACAAAGTTACTTCTTACAACAAGAACAACAAAAAACAAACGGGAGTTTTAAGATCAGAACCTGCAGTTACTTTACAGTAAATATTAAAAAACAGCAAAAAGAGTGAGAGTGTGAATGGTTATCTTGTCTCTGTATGTCCCCGTGATGGACTTGTAACCTATCCAAGTACCAGGACTGATATAAAAATATGTTTTATAAAAATATATTAAGTTGCCTTTATGCCTATTCAAACATATATATTGTGTGTGTGTGTGTGTTACTTTTCAGAATTAAATGTCTAAATTGCCATAAAAGGCAAGGGTGGAATGATATAGGAATGATTATTTTGATGCTTTTATGTCAATTAATACTTATACTCACTTTTGCTGCATCTTATCTGCTTAAAGTCAGGCCTGTGCTGCAGATGTGTTTTGGAGTAATTAAAGTTCTCTGGGGGATGCTCTAACCAGAAGACCTGGCCCAATCTTAAGGTTACGGTGACCCAGATTTTGAAGGACATGTTTTTATGAAGCCATCGCTCAGTTGTACAGACTGCTTTGATGATGGAAAAACAGATTTAATTAAATCTGTCCTCCTGGCAACCATCAAACTTGTTTTCATCTACTCTCACGCGATCCGGTCGGGAAGGGGTATTTAAGGAGCACAAATACTGTGACAAAGTTGAAGTCTTGTGTGGACCAGCGTGCGGTGCCATGCAGTTGTGATGTGAGTTCTGTCATTGGATCGAAAGGCTTCCCGTTCATTTGTCACGGTGAGAGATACTCATATCAATTTGTGTGTTAAGAGTGTACAAAGTGTACATGACTTTGCTTGGCTGTTTTCTTGTGGCAGATTAATAAATGACAATATTATTCTAGCAAGTTACAGTCCCTTGTGTTTCATTTTCCTCTTGTCTGAATATCTGGTGCCGATCGTTCACGAACCTTTGATAAAGAATTTCATACTACAAGGACCTGCACCCCACCTATCACACAGTGACTGCTGGAGACAGACTTCAGCTCCCCTTGACCCAAAAAGGAAAAAACAAATAAAGAAACTGGACATGAGAGCAAAACTTTGAGCAAATTAAGGGTTGTTGGTGAGACAATAACATATAAGGAATTTACAGTTCTGCCAAAATATTTCCAAGAACCAATAAGTTGTTAAAAGTAGAGCCCAACCGATATGGAAATTGTGCTATCGCCAATACCGATATTGGGAGAGGAAAGCAGCTGCCAATAACCAATATAATGGCTGTAATTTTTTTGCTTTGTCAACCCTCAAGAATCAAAGAAAACAACAAGTGAAGTGGAGCTTGTTTATTTAGCGCAGCTGTTAGCAACCATGAAGCTAAGCATGTCAGTAGTAGGGCATTAACAGAGTACTCGAGTAATCTACACATCGATTGCTAGGACATCTATCGAGGTTAAAAATTTAACATCGAGTATCCGTAGTGACGTCATATTATGTGACCACCGTATGACCGTAGGGGGCGGTGTTGCACTGTTGCAGGTCACAGAGTATGGTGTAACACCGGGTCCAATCCACCGAACCAGTTTTGGTTTAAGTTTCGTTTTTGACGTGCTGCACGTTTCTTCACGTTTGCAGTTTAATAATAATAACTAATACTTGAGTTTTTGCTGTGACTTATTTGCAGTATGATAAATGGTAGGAGCATAATATACGCTCCCAATGTTTTGTTGGTCTTTTTTTTGTTGTAAATAATTACCTTTTTTTTTGCAGTTTTATTTATTTATTTATTTTTGTATCTTGAGATCTATTACGTCATCAAATACTCGAGTTCCACTCAGGTTTTATTATAGTAATGTCGAATTTAAAAATTATATACTCGTTCAACCCCTAGTCAGTAGTTAGTCCCACTGTGCTGCCTTTGGTTTAAAGACCGTAATAAATTCATCATGTGAGTAAGTTACATAAATGAGATTATAAATAAGTTCATAGTTAACAATTTGATTGAGTAAATTCATGCTAAAAACTGTAAAAATGTTTTGGATTTGAATTCCAATCAGAGTGAGACATCTGATCTTTGTCATTTTGTACATGCAGCACGTGAGGTAGTGAGTGCTTACACCACAGAACAATCTTTGATGTATTTTCTCAGTAAAACAAGTGCTTCGGCAAATAAGGGCGAAAACAGCTCATAATACATGCTACGATGCGTGAGAGAAGTGGAGCATGCTCTATTCACACAAGGAGAGCTGTTGGTCAGGCTACTTGTTGTGCCATGCTCTCCAAAATAGTTACTGAATCAAGTGTTTACTTATGTAGGTAAACATAGACAACAGATATTTTAACAACTCGTTAAAATACACCAGAATGCAGGAAATTTTTCATTCAACCTTTATTTATACAGGTTAGTTCCCATTGAGCCTCGAGGACTTATTTATAAGATAGACCTGTTACATACAACATACAGAGTAGATGAGAGAAAAAAAGGAGAACACAAGGGTGGTGGAAGTAAAAAAAACCATGTCTCATCTCACACCATGTCCTGGCTGGGGCATAGTGTAAAAGATAAAAAAAAAAAAACCTTGCAACATAAAACAGCAACATACAATGATATTCAAGGATTCAAGGTTCTTTATTTGTCATTCACACCCCACGTGGTGCATGTGGTGGAACGAAATTATGTACACAGGGTCCCAGTTACATCCAACAATAAAAAGTAAAAGAAAAATAGTAATAGGATCTAAGATATGAACGAAGAAAAACATCAACTAAATATACACTAAGCACTAGTAGCATAAAAACAATACGCCGAACAGCAGCACGAACATGAGTCTGTGTGAGCAGATGAGGACGAATGAACACATCAACATGAAACAGATCAGCAGCAACATGAAACAGATCAGCAGCAACATGATGTGATTTTTCACTGTGATTATCCTGGTTAGATATTCATGAGTCTAACAGCCTCAGGGTAGAAGCTGTTCCTCAGTCTAGTGGTTCTAGACTTAATGCTCCTTAAACTCCTTCCTGAGGGGAGTGGGGCAAAAAGTGTGTGTGCTGGGTGAGTGGGGTCCTTCATGATGCAGGTGGCCCTCTTCCTGCATCTGGAGGTATAAATGTCTGTGATAGTGGGGAGACTGACTCCAACAGTCTTCTGTGCAGCCTTCACCACATCATATTACATTTATGCATAGAGGTCGACAAAGCCGGTGAGTTATCCATAAACATGCCAGAAAGTTCCAAAGTTCTGATAAGATGGTACAGTGTCTATCAGCGGCACAATTCTAATAAGGCCACAGATGTCCTCGGGAAGGGGGGGGGGGGGCAGCCAGAGCTTCTTATGCCCTATTTACACAGACACGATTGGGGGAAACATAGGTTTTTTCGTATGTTAATTAGAGGAAAAGATTTGCGTTGACACGGTCGGATTTTGGGTTTACATACATCCGGAGGATTCGCGCCCCCCCCCCCCGCCCTCCCGAATCCGCTGTAGTTACCATGCCAGGTCATTAGATGGCGCTGTGAATTTTGTACCTTCACCTAATGCGCATGCGTGCTGCCTCGGCATGCTCTTTTCCTGTGAGCTAAAAAGCACAGCTAACAACAACGTAACAACAAGTTAAAGCTGGATTCTGGCTGGATTTTTGGATAAGAGTCGACAGATATGACGCCAAGCGGGAATGCTTCGTCTAACAGCTCCACACCGGTCACTGAGTGGACCAGAACCGAGTCGACAATGTCAGACTTTATTCCGTGATAATCAGTAGCTGATTTACTGCAGGTAAATCAAATGTTCTTAATAATGTTAGTTTGTGTTTACTTCAGTTACAAAACAACCAAGTTTTTATTTTTTCCTGAAAGAAGAAGAAGCTGTCCTCCCACCAGGTGGACCGGTTCTGAACGAGGCTCAGCCCAGAAGAACTGCAGGAGGACGTCGAAGAGAGCTGTTGGATGAACGATTTATTTAAAATTCCCCTCATTTCTTTTATTCAATCCATTCAAGTTCAGTTAACGTGTTTTAATAGTGTGTTCAGTTTAATTATCAGTGTTCGTGTGACATACAGTTTGTGGTGTTGAATAAATAAATAAAAATTAAACCTGATGTCTTCATTTTCAACTTTAGTGTTCACGCTATGTTTAGCATCATTTTAAATTTGAATTATATAATGTCCAGATAGCTTCATTTAGCTCAGAGCATTATTATATCTCGCACACTAACATAAATACTGTTTATTATTATTAAACTGTTGTTATTTAGCACATTTAGTATGTTATAGTGCAGCGCGACGTGTGCGCGTGCCACGTTCTATAAACAGCAATATTAGAACTGGATCAGACTGTGTCTCTTCCAACACAGATGTTGGTCACAGCACCTACAATCTGACGTAGATTAACTACGAAATTAAAATATATTCCATCAGTCATAGTTCTGAAAGCACTGTCCGCCACCATGTTGATAGAAATATATCGTCTGTCCGCGCGTGTGTGTGCGCATGTGGTTTAACACAAAGCCTCAGCGGGAGATGTTTACATTATCAGCTGGGGGTCAGCGAAAAACCTTCACTCTGGAAGGTGGGTTCAGAAACCTCCAGATTCAAAGAGGGGGCCACTGGTGTCGTGTAAATGATCAGCAGAACCGCAGGGAGAAAGCTGTAGATGCCCTCAAAATACGTGCCGTGTAAACGGCCCCTTAGTTTACGTATCCTCCAGGAGCAATTTGAGATAAGTTGGCCTATAAGGCCAGCAGGGAAGCCAAATTCAGAAAAACAACAGTTTGGAGCAGACAGACTCAATTGAGATGTCTGCCTTCAGTTCTGCTGGAACACTCAATGGTGAATCCAAACGACCAGATCTGTGGATATTCCGCCGAAGTCGGACTTCTAACTTCTCCAAGATCTCTTCCTTCCAACTGTCCACGAACACTGCCACAAAGTTCCACAGTCCTGCCTGCTCAGCTCTGTTCCAGTTCCATAGTTAGTTCGCACACAGTCTGAGTGTTGCCAAGCCCAGCACACACATTCCAGAAAGCTTAAACA